TCTGGTATAAACATCTTCTTCGAGTATCGAAGAGTGCATCAGTATAGCGCATCAGTAAACCTGGTACGGGGAAGTTGTGCACAAAAGTCGATGATCGATTGGGTAATCATATCGTCTGAATTAAAACGCTTAGTTATGGATCTTCACGTCAAGAGAGGCACAGAGCTATCAGCCAATCACCATCTCGTTGTTGACACGCTAGACTGTGAGAGATGGAGTACCATGCCAAGACCTGATGGCAGAAGCAACCACTGAATCACGTAAGAAACAATATGTTCAGATACAAAAACAAAACTTGTAAACAGCAGCACACGACGGTAACAAAAAAAACCCAGTAATGACTGCTGATGTGGAATCGGAGCAGACGTTGTTTAAAGGCAGCTTACTGTAGGCTGCCGCCAAATGCTGCAGGTGAGGTTAAAACAGGTTGGCCTGTATCCTGGAAGCCAGAAACGAAATTCCTGATGAGCACGGAAGGACCGATTGCTATCATCGAGAAAAAGGCTACATTCAAGAGGTGGACTGGAAGGAAAGAGACTTCAACTCGAACGTGGCACTAAGAAGCTTGCAAGGCGCAGCAAAGGCAGTGGCAAGGGCAAAAGCTGATTGCTGGACAAGCCACTTGGAACTTGGAGTTCGAATTTTATTTGAGGTATTCTAGCAGACCTTCCACCTCCTCCCTGAAAGAAAGAAGGACAGGCTAAGAATCCTTCAGGACAAGTCCAAACGCTGTCTAACCGATGAGAAGGAAAACGTGCTTTCAACAATTCCTTAATGGTGAGCAACCGCCTGAAGAACACCAAGCAACGAACATTAGTCTTTCAGCAGATATGATCAGACATGCCATGAAGAGCTTGAAAAGTTGCAAAGCTGCTGCGATAGATAAATTCTACTCTGGAATGCTCAAAGCTTCAGTTGATCAATGCATATTGTTGCAACATGTGTCTATCAAATTACAACAGGACACTAGTGAACAGGGGTTGCACTACGCCCGTTCTAGAAGAGGAACCATGGGAAATGCTTCAAATTTCAGGACGTTACC